CTGTTGGGCGACTCATTGATTTGATTTTCTAATACAGATATTCAGTTTCTAGACTGTTTTCTTCCCTCCTAGTATTTTTGGCTTTAGATACTGAGTATGAGATAGTGATAGACCTTATTTTCATTTTCAGAATTTCAAAAAATAATTGGTCATTAATTCTTAACTCTAATGTTTCATGCCTTTCTTTATTCCCTGAACTATAGTATTCTTCAATGGTTTCCTCAATGCAATCTCTTACTTGTTGTATGTAAGTTAAATCCTTCAATAATGATGTATTGTGTTTCCAATACCCTTTACCCTTTTCAGAATTTTTGACATTTATTTCTAAAATAATACATGAATGATCAGTTCTATAACCTGGTATAATTTTGCAATCTTTGGTTCTGGAATAGATATCATTAGAAATAAGAAAGTAATCTAATCTACTTTGTCGAACTGGATTTTTTTGCCTCCATGTAAAAGATTTTAATTCAGGATAAAACTGCCACCAAGGATCAATTAAATCATATTTGTCCATTATATCTCTAATTACTTCTTGTGCTTTTGGATTATTTATGTTTAATATGTTATATGTATCCATATTCTTGTCCTGAACAGAGTTCCAATCCCCACATAGTAGCACTGATGAATTATTGAAAGCTTGCAAAGTGTTAAAAAATGTATTAAAAAGTAGGAGAATCCTGATTAGGACCATAGACACAACCTATTGTTAATCTATTTTGGTTTATTGATATATCTAAAAGGATGAAACGACCCACTCTGTCTACTCTGCTACCATGAATACAAAATTCAAACGTATTTCGAAGCAAAATTGCTACCCCAGCTGATCGTGAATTGAAGTTACTGAATATACATTTATACCCCCACTCCCTTTCCCATAACGCTTCTACTTCACCTGTACAATGCGTTTCTTGTAAACAAATAATATCTGTTTTTTTTCGTTTAAACCAGTGGAACACATCTCTCCTTTTAGTGGTATCGGAATATAAACCCCTTTCATTCATAGAAAGACATTTTATACTACCCATAGCAACAATGCTGACCCAGAGGGCAGCCCCCTAACCCTACCCTGATGACCCTGCACACACCAAACTTGTCTCCTCCCCCCAAAACAACACATATCCCCTTACACCACCTAGTTAAAAAGTTAACAACCATAGCTAAGCACATGTGTAGGCCACTCTCAAGCTCTGCACTATACAAAATTGTAACATGTGTATAGTTTATTTACTTACAGAGATCACTCATACTCAAACTTCTACTTGCTCAAAATCAGAGATACTTATAATTCTGAACTATAATATTAATCTATAAGCTAATAGATATATGCACAAATAGTTAATAGATTAAAAAAAGATTACTTCAAAGTTTTCAGAAATTTGGACACAAAAATGCTTACCTTAAAATATGGTCTTTCTTAAATCCCACACATAATCACTCACAATAATTTAGAATTGCACACATATTTGAAATACACAATTATGAAATTAGAAACAAAATGCACTTGTGTCTATCTGCCTCTGAAAACATCATTCACACTTTGGAACAAGTCCACTGGCTTCCTGACGCCATCACAGACTGCGAAAACACGTCCATTGAAATACCAAGCGTTCTCAATACGCTCGTTACTTTTCAGTCTGTTGATCAGTCCTGCATTGTCCTTGGTCAAATCATCCACCAGCTTCATGGTCCCCATCAAGTTTTTCCTGTTTAATTACACTGTTCCTAACCTCTTTCTTTACAAACTTCACCACCAATGGTCTAGCTCTCTTAGTATCTCTCCCTGGAATTCTATGGACTGTCACCAAGTCATCTCGATGGATTGGATGGCTAATTACTTTGTTGACCTCATCACAGAAATCTTTCATCAAATCTCTCTTGTTCTCATCATCCACATTCTCCTTCTCCTTAAAATCCATCACTTTTATGTTATTTCTCCTGCTATATTGCTCATTGTAGTTTCCCTTCCTTATGCCATCTTGAGCCATCCTTTTAACTTCTTCCATCTCTTTGAAAACTGAAGTTTGCACCCTCTCTACCTCTCTCTGCATCTCTGTACTTTGTTTCTTCAACTCGTCTATCTCCCTCTGTTTACCCTGAAGTGATTCCTGTAACCTGTGGTTGTGTGCATTAACTACGTCCAATTCCTGTCTCATTTGTGCAGTTTTCTCAGTAATCTTTTGTCCTAAATCCCTCTCCAGATCTTTCCTCATAGATTCCACTATAGAGCTCACTATTTTCTCAATGTCCTTGGATTTCACTAATCCTGCAGATAAAGCTGTCAAATCTGCTTTCTTCACCACATTCTCCAACTGCTCCTTTATCTTTGAAATATCCTGTCTGATATCTTCATCAACTGCAACATTAGTCGATATACTCTGTTTAGTTGAAGGGGCCCCTGCTGTTCTGCTAATCTTAGTGTGAGTAGACATAGCTCAGGTATGTACAGGTAAGCACACTAGGTGTCAAAGTAGGGAAGTAAGAATGTAGCCCAGGTAGGTAAAACCAGGTACACAGGTGACTTCAGGTGAGCACAGTTCACTGACACTAATGTTCACAAAAAAAAATTATTTTCCTTCAAAATGTTCAAATTCCAAAGTTCATTTCAAAAAACAAATCAACCAAAGTGCTTAGAAAACGCTTATACACATGTCTGACAAATTTGGACTCAAACACTCCTCCAAAAATAGCAATAAATCCACCAAAATTATCAGAGCAGCCTGAGTGTGTGTTGCCTACTCAGCGGCCATTGTCCTTCCTCATATATATATACATATACATATTGACTTTGACTGCATGGATGGATTATTCAGTGTCCAGTGGGTTTTTCGAGAGGTACACACTAACATTAACTGCCTCATCTATCTTAATGTTATCTCAGAGCAATATTATGTCAGACTTGTAAACAAGTATCAACGAATAATTTGTTTTCGCTTGTAGGCATGAATCTATAAAAAATATTGATGAATGAGTTAAGAATGAATGGCATGCTAATTACAGAGATGTGATGAATAAATGAATGTCTTCACAGTGTTGAATGAGAGCCCTCTGGTGTCGGGACATAACTGTACACGTATACTTTCAAACATATCCGATCAGATAGACGTTCTGAGACTGAGAATTAATTTTATTGCGTTGTAACGGGCTGAGCATGTTGTAGCAGTGACAACAAGACAAAACACCATGTTTACAGCATTTACATTTATTTCCTTGTACAATATGAACAATAGCTACAAACATTTACACCATTTACACTCGCATTCTCACAAAAACCTAAGACTACAACACAAAGGTTATAAACATCACACTAAGTAATAACAGTTCCCAACACCACGTCACAACACCTCGTCACAACACCAAGTCACAACACCACGTCACAACACCTCGTCACAACACCACGTCACAACACCTCGTCACAACACCACGTCACACCACCTCGTCACAACACCACGTCACAACACCACGTCACAACACATCGTCACAACACCTCGTCACAACACCATGTCACAACACATCGTCACAACACCACGTCACAACACATCGTCACAACACATCGTCAATGACATTACGTCCCAGACAACACGTCACTACACCACCTCACAGACACCAACTTACAACACCACGTCACAACATATCGTCAATGACATCACGTCACAACACCACGTCACAACACAATGTCACTGACATCACGTAACTGACACCACGTCACTGACATCCGGTCAAAAAACCACGTCACGGACATCACGTCAGTGACATCACATCAAAACACCACGTCACTGACATCACATTACAACACCACGTCACAGACATCACGTCACGGACATCACGTCAGTGACATCACGTCACAAACATCACGTCAGATCACGTCACTGACACCACGTCACTGACATCTCGTCACTGACACCACGTCACCGACATCACGTCACAACACCACGTCACCGACATCACATCACAACACCACTTAACAACACCACGTCACATACATCACGTCACTGACATCACGTCACGGACATCACGTCACAACACCACGTCACTGACATCACGTCACATACATCACGTCACTGACATCACGTCACATACATCACGTCACCACACCACGTCACTGACAGCACGTCACCACACCACGTCACTGACATCACGTCACTGACACCACATTGCCGGTACCAAAAAGGATATTACAGGATATAGTTCCACTCCATCAACGGTCTGACCGTGTCTAAATACTAAGTGTCTAAACCAGTTCACCGTGGAACTCCTTAACACATCTAAATATCTCGTCTGACCCTTATCCTGGTCACTGTCATGATCCACCACTTCACCATGGAACTCCAAGATTCTCCTCATCAGAATAACGTTCCCTGAAAGTTGTTATATAATTTGTAATAATTGTAGCTTGAAGTCGTGTTCCAGTAAGGTACAGTTTAAGTTTTAGTGATTCCACAGGTCTTCAGTATGACTTGTTGTCACGCATGGTCTCCAACTTCATTTCCTATTTAGTTTTGATCGAGTTCCTTTGTGATTTGGGTTTTCAATCTATAATGTGAAAGATATAGCCTTTTTCCAGTGAAGATGAATTTACACATGTATGTCTGGTATTTATGTTACATCATACATCAATGTGAAAGATCACCCATCACAATAATTACATGAAAATACACGTTTTACATTTAAACATAAAAAAAAAAATTATCGATAGGACGATACGATAAAATCCTGAGGTCAAACTTTCTACATCTCCCACAGGTGTTACCTGTGTATCTATCAACCTGGGACCTTCTTCATGTCTCGACCCAACCCAAGGTTAAGTCAGTAGAATCCTCTTGCTTCACAAATCCCTGCACTATTTCCTGTGAATGACCAACACAGCCAGTTACGTCCATACACGGATTTTCATACCTTGTGAAGGTAAGAAATCCAATGTAAAGGAAGATCATAAGATGGGTTGCCAAAAAGATTGTGAGAAAAGGTAACTGTTTTGAGTTTAGTTCCATTCCTTTAGATCAGTCCGTGTATACAAGGTCACACACCATTAGTTGATACGCCAGAGTGCCCACTATCATTTTACCCTGATAGACAGAGGCTACAGTAGATCCGGTTAACTCAGATCCAGAATCTCTGAACACCTCCACAGCCTCCGTAAACTTTCCCTCTGATGTCTTCACCTTCAGGATCTGTGAGAGTATACAACAAAGTCTATGTTATTAATATACATAATAAACACGTACAAACAATTTATATATATCACTAAAGTCTACCATAAAGGTCTGAATGGATTCAATATAAAACTACCTCTCAAAATTACCTTACACCATGGTATTTTGTGTTAGAGTAACTGACGGGATATATATCACAATCATATCACCGACTCTAAATCTGTAGATGTGTTTTTGTGTTAGAGTAACTGACGGGATATCTATCACAATCATATCACCGACTCTAAATCTGTAGATGTGTTTTGTGTTAGAGTAACTGACGGGATATCTATCACAATCACATCACCGACTCCAAATCTGTAGATGTATTTTGTGTTAGAGTAACTGACGGGATATCTATCACAATCATATCACCGACTCTAAATCTGTAAATGTGTTTTGTGTTAGAGTAACTGACGGGATATCTATCACAATCATATCACCGACTCTAAATCTGTAGATGTGTTTTGTGTTAGAGTAACTGACGGGATATCTATCTCAATCATATCACCGACTCTAAATCTGTAGATGTCTAACACTATGTGATATATCACCAGGGATGTCGACTGTATTCTCAATATGTGTTAAATCCTTGGCCTGACAGATTGTAAATACCATACCTGTGAAGGTGCACGGCTCTGAGACCTGCCATCGATACACTCCATCAGCTGATAATGAACGGGATGACACCCAGCCCATATATCACCCGTTTCCAGGTCTATTTCTATATTGTCTGGAAGTGAATTCAAGTACAAGTCCTGTTCAACAGAAAACATAGGTTTATCTCCTCCTTATAAGGATTGTTAAAACCTAATGGTCGTTCGTTATTATCCATATTATACCTAATTTATGATAAAACTAATGCTTAAGCTTTTGTCTTTCGGATAACAGATCTCTCATTCAACACAACCTCCAGAGTACAACGAATCATTTTTCCTGTTTCAAAAAACGAAAAACAAAAACAAGAATGCAAAAACAAGAAAGCCTAAAAACTTGTTCATTGGAATCTACATCTGACTGCATAAACAATTGATTTCTTTTACTCCTACTATTTGTAAAATAAGAATAAATCAACAAATTGTACATTCACTCTATATCTATTACTGTAAGACTATGTTCAAAATTCGAGAAAAAACCTACATCTACGTGTTTCAGTTGAGTATGAACAATACGATAAGATTTCAGCTGCTTCCTGCCGAATTCCGACACATACAGATGTCTGAAAGTACAAGTATATTTATGTTTAAGAGGCGCGGTTAGACTCTCAAAACATCAAGACTTTTCTGAAAGTGCTCTATTATTTACATTAAAATTGATTGCGATTGATGGGAACTATAATTCAAATTGGAATAGGATATTGACATGTTTTTCTTACGTTTGATATTCAAATAAATGAAAACTAACTTTGGTAAAGACGTCAACATATCTGCATTACCTGATACTGTTGTATGATATCGATTCCACATATCAACTTAGCATTGTGTGACAGTGTTGTGTAGTACTGGTCAATAATATCAACCTCTCGTCAGATGACACGTTGATGCAATTGTCGTGTTGTGTTGTAATAACCCTAAATACTAACCTCTTGTCTGGTGACACATTGATGTAATTGTCAGGTTGTGTTGTAATAACCCTAAATACTGACCTCATGTCTGGTGACACGTTGATGTAATTGTCGGGTTGTGTTGTAATAACCACGTTGATGTAATTGTCGGGTTGTGTTGTAATAACCCTAAATACTGACCTCTTGTCTGGTGACACGTTGATGTAATTGTCGGGTTGTGTTGTAATAACCCTAAATACTAACCTCTTGTCTGGTGACACATTGATGCAATTGTCGTGTTGTGTTGTAATAACCCTAAATACTGACCTCTTGTCTGGTGACACGTTGATGCCGTTGGGTAAGTGTAGCCCCTGTACCACACTCCGGAAGTCCATGCCATCGTAGTACAGTATCTCACCGTCCGTTGACATCAGTAACAGCTGCAGCCAGAGATAGCCTCGAAATGACTTGTATTTGGTGATGTAAAAAGTTCTGTTGCTGGTCATAACCAAATCATTCATACTGGAATTCATATAATAACTTTGTAACCTCTATATATGAAAGGTTAAATGTATTCTTCTTCAGGAAACTGCACTTTTCGTTATTTTTTATTTTGTTATTAATATCGAAAAACATCTTTCTGTGTATAATTTCAAGTTCAAATACGAAAAGTATTCACCGCACTTCTACACTTTGCATAATAAAATAACTGAAACAAACATTAAGAGATATTAAGAAATCATTATCATAATGAAAATCTAACCAACTAGTCCCTTTAAATGGTAAATGGTCATGTCTTATGCCAGACAGGTACGTACTCTGTTGGACTTGTGATAGAGACGACGTGAGGGAGTAATGCTGAATGTTGTCTGTGTCTAAAGCCTGACAGGGACTTACTCTGTTGGACCTGTGATAGAGACGACGTGAGGGAGTAATGGTGAATGTTGTCTGTGTCTAAAGCCTGACAGGGACTTACTCTGTTGGACCTGTGATAGAGACGACGTGAGGGAGTAATGGTGAATGTTGTCTGTGTCTAAAGCCTGGCAGGGACTTACTCTGTTAGACTTGTGATAGAGACGACGTGAAGGAGTAATGATGAATGTTGTCTGTGTCTAAAGCCTGACAGGTACTTACTCTGTTGGACTTGTGATAGAGACGACGTGAGGGAGTAATGCTGAATGTTGTCTGTGTCTACAGCCTGACAGGGACTTACTCTGTTGGACTTGTGATAGAGACGACGTGAGGGAGTAATGGTGAATGTTGTCTGTGTTTACAGCCTGACAGGGACTTACTCTGTTGGACTTGTGATAGAGACGACGTGATTTAGTAATGCTGAATGTTGTCTGTGTCTACAGCCTGACAGGGACTTACTCCGTTAGACTTGTGATAGAGACGACGTGATTTAGTAATGGTGAATGTTGTCTGTGTCTAAAGCCTGACAGGTACTTACTCTGTTAGACTTGTGATAGAGACGACGTGAAGGAGTAATGATGAATGTTGTCTGTGTCTACAGCCTGACAGGGACTTACTCTGTTGGACTTGTGATAGAGACGACGTGATTTAGTAATGCTGAATGTTGTCTGTGTCTACAGCCTGACAGGGACTTACTCTGTTGGACTTGTGATAGAGACGATTTGAGGGAGTAATGGTGAATGTTGTCTGTGTCTACAGCCTGACAGGGACTTACTCTGTTAGACTTGTGATAGAGACGATTTGAGGGAGTAATGGTGAATGTTGTCTGTGTCTACAGCCTGACAGGGACTTACTCTGTTAGACTTGTGATAGAGACGACGTGAGGGAGTAATGCTGAATGTTGTCTGTGTCTACAGCCTGACAGGGACTTACTCCGTTAGACTTGTGATAGAGACGACGTGATTTAGTAATGGTGAATGTTGTCTGTGTCTACAGCCTAACAGGGACTTACTCTGTTAGTTTTGGACTTGTGATAGAGTCGACGTGAAGTAATGACAGAGAATTCTTCCGGAACCAAAACACTTCCACGTGGTCTTCAAATTCGGCATGGTTGATTACCATCAGGGTGATCTCCCCTGAAACAAATCGTTCACAGTTTATTTACCGTGATGTTACGGTATATTCGTCCTGGATGACCAACCTGCCTAATTACAAGTGGAATCCAACAGCAAATATCTATTATGGTTAGTGTTGAGGAATATATGAGTGTTAATTTTATACACTAACCTGTTGTATCGTCCTGCCAAACACTCAGTCCATGGAAAGATACTTTTGACGAATTTAGAGTGGAACTAACAATTGGTAACTCTCTGATAATATAGGATGGATCTTCAAGTCGGTTAAAGTCAAAAAGAAGAATTCGACTTCGAGCCCAAGAACATAAACCCTGAAATGGATGAGACATTATTGATGGCCAGGATTCGTAACTCTATGTTACACTCGGGAGATATTTTGTGTAGATCAGTGGGACCTTGCGAAGCAGAGCATTATCGTTGTATAGTTTAGTTATGTAATGCCAAGCAGAATGGTATTCCCTTATTCTGAATTGTCCTAAAATGACCGTGCTTGTTAGCACTATATTACACAACATTTAAAGACAAATACAATCCCTTCTCTAAACGAACAAGTTATAAAAATTATTTCAAGCGTACAGCGTTCATATTGTCAGGTATATCGGAACGATACATTACGGTAAAACAGGTAATAAATCTGAGACGTACCGAGGAGATGAAGGTTAAACCATTGTCTAATACTGTGAGGTCTTCCGAACCGCCATCTGTAACCAAATAGATATAGTCTAATTGCAATATATGCACTATTCTTTCACGTTTGAGACACAAAATAACCTTACGAAACGATATTGACAACTATACAATTATCGCTAAAACAGAGAGTTTCTAAGTTATCTAGTCCGAGGATGGAAAATAGCTTACCATCAGTACTAATTAGTGGTTTTGTTATTAGGAAGGACTCGCCTTTCATCAAGTCATCCGGGGTTTGATTCCCGGAACAGACGTAACATAGGTATGGGGCCACTTGCCCGAACACGTGGGCTTTTCCCGGGTGCTCAGCTTTCCTCCCACTTTAAGACCTCTTGCGCTTCCATCCGAGCCAACAAGAGTGATTAATATAAGTACATTTATATAAGAACTTCTTTATCATTTGTTTGTAAAATGATTAAAGTTTAAAAAAAAAGTGTTTTGTATTTTGAAATGACAACATAAATGTTAACAGACCTGCGCCTTCCAGATATCTACATGGTCCAGGTCGGTGGTGGATTATTGTCCGGGTTTTGTGGTAGTCCATGAAAAACCTTGAAGTAAAATATAAGAAAATATATGTACTCAATATATGTCCAAGTAAAACTGAACCAAAAGAGCTATGAAATCTACATTGCTGAAAAACTCAAGAAATTTGTCAATAAATAAATCAATAAATGACAAATGAAATAAACTTAAATAAATTAATCAACAAGGCCATGAAACGATATGAAACACTGGCACAAAAACGTATCAGTAAATAACACATTTCAATACAAATCTAGAATAAGATATCATAAAAGTAAACAATGGATTAAACTGTATCATACAGCTGATTCGACCTTCTAGGACTCCACAGTGATGTTACATCATACAGCTGTTTCGTCCTTCTAGGACTCGTCAGTGATGTTATATCATACAGCTGTTTCGTCCTTCTAGGACTCGTCAGTGATGTTACATATTACAGCTGTTGCAACCTTTGAGGACTTATCAGTGATGCCAATGACGTAAAAAAGTTAGGAGGTGGCTAGGGGTTGCCAGAAATAGATCAAAAGTAATGACAAAAAAGGTTTCAGTCAAACTGTATTGTTAAGATGTAGAAGATATTCTGGAATAAAAATAAATTATTATGTAGTTTTCTTTTTGTCGATTACAGATAAAAAACTTTTAACATGTGCATCAAAGAACAAAACTGACTCATTGTTACAGATACATAAACAGATCATACTGTGTCATAATACACAGTGATTCAACTAATTATCGTTTATCACGGACTGGAAAGTTAAAGTAACAGGTATATGTCGCACTGTATAGACGGTATCAATGATAGCCAATTCTATAGAATCAAAATTAGAAAATACCAACGAGTCACCATAATCATAATCCAAACTCATTTCCAACCAGTTGGCAAACAATTTGACGGGTTTTCACCTATACATAGCCTCTCACCTAATGATCAACCATTTCTACAAAAACTATAACTAACCATTCATGCTATTTATATATTAAATATCTAGACTGTACAACTTCAGCTAATTTATGTGTGTTGCCCGAAAAAAATGCGACCCCTTCCTATAACCAGAAGTAGACATTTGACACAATATTTCTTTGCTGTTATCAATAGCAATCTTACGCAATATGCAGATTACGAAACATAATCACCTTAGACCGATTAGGTTTTGAAAATGAAACCATTTTAAGATTTTAACGAATTTGACCCCTGTGACATTGAAAGCGGGTCAAGGTCATTCATATTAGCAAACATAATAACTAACGACCGGAACATCTGTAATATAAAGGTTCTTGACCGTGTGGAACTTGAGAAAAGGTTTTCCAAATTGTGTTACCCAAATAACAATTTTCAGTTTTGACCCATGTCGAGAGCCGGACGTTGGTTTTCAGATCTGATTTTATTTTACATTAAAGAACAATTGATCACAACATGCTATTAAAAAAATTCAGCATCGTATGAATCTTGATATTGAGAAAATTCTATTGAAAGATTTTGGAATAATTGTATCCTGTGATCTTGAAGACGGATCAATGTCATTTATACTAAAAAAAACTCGATATACAACGCTTAGAACTTCCTATGTATTAAATATCCAACCCATAGACTTTGCAGAACCGGAGAAGTTTTTCAACGTTGGTTACCCAAAATAGCAATTTTCAAATTTGATCTCAATCGAGAGCCGGAAGTTGCTGACAGTATGCTACTGGCAAAATTCCATCAACATGTGCTTTTTGGTTATTGAGAAAATACTATCAAAAACTTTCACATCATTAAATCCTGTGACCATGGAAGCGGGTCAAGCTTATTCATATTATCAAACTTGATAGTCAATAACCAGAGGTTACTGAAGCTCAAATATCAGGGCTCTAGACCATGTGGAACTTGTGAAGAAGTTTCCCAAAATGGTGATTTTCAAAATATTGATCCCAACCGAGAACCGAAAGTAGAATTTTGGACAAGCATTTATTAATACATTGTATAGCAATTTATCACCAGGACGATCAGATGGACGTAAGACTTACCAGTAACGTATTCCTCTTTAAAGTATTAAGTCACCAGGACTGTCATACGGACATGACTTACCAGTAACGTAAGCATTGTTTAAGTCTTTAACGCCATCAGGACGATCAGACGGAAACTTGACTTACCAGTAACGTATTCCTCGTTGAAGTATTATTGTTACCAGGACGGTCAGACGGAAACTGCGCCACATGATCTATGAATTGGGCGATAGAAGTTTAATACTTTACATGACATAAAAAAGTTAAGAATTGATAAGAAATACTTAAAAGGTGAAATGATATACCACAAGAAAGATCATTACTTAAAATTAGAAATTATTAAATAACACTAATATCACATGATATCAGCAATTATTGGATTGAATGTAGTATTTGGAATTATGATAAACTTCCTTCCACCGATTCCATCTTAATCCACCATGATTAAATGATATACATGTCATAAGGCTTTAAGGTAACGTCATTTTTGTTAGCTTCTACCCGAACATATCTCCTGGAAATCAGGGCAAAACCATAGAACATATAGTACAAGAACTGGAAAAAGATTTTGAAAATGTAATTGTCTACCTCGCTGTGTGGATAGATTGTGTAGGTAGTCAGATTCACAGAGAGGAGGTAGGGAAGAAATAAGTAGAACAGTTAACGCATGACCTGTTATAAAAATTAGAAATGTCTAGTTACAACCACGTCGGCCATTTAGATCATTTGCTTAACAACAGAGACAATCATGGTCGAAAGACAAAACAGTTTGGGTTCAAATATTATTGTAAAACACTTTCTACCTGTCGCCACACGGTGTAATGTATACAATGTGGACAAAGATCTTATCAGTGTGTGTATACAAAACGAGCACTAGAGCGGGACTCGCCACCTTGTTAACTAAAACACTGTTAAGCAGTTATTATTACCTGTTAAAGCATAATGAAGTTTGCTATCTAAACGAATAGTACTTCATAATTACAAGGATATTCCGATCCATGCTCTCAAACCATAGAATGTTTTTAGTCGGTTATCAGTTAATATTTGAATAGCGTTACATATAATGTAAAATCTAGAATATTGGTGACTTAACATTTCGCTTTTATATACTACACTTTTATACTAACTTTATGACTAAATTATAAATACTGTAATTACCAAACGTTACTATATTTTGATTGTATTTGTTACTATATTATACTGTATTTGTTACTATATTTTACTGTATTTGTTACTATATTATACTGTATTTGTTACTATATTTTACTGTATTTGTTACAATATTTTACTGTATTTGTTACTATATTTTACTGTATTTGTTACTATATTTTACTGTATTTGTTACTATATTTTACTGTATTTGTTACTATATTTTACTGTATTTGTTACAATATTTTACTGTATTTGTTACTATATTTGTATTTGTTACTATATTTTACAGTATTTGTTACTATATTTTACTGTATTTGTTACTATATTTTACTGTATTTGTTACTATATTTTACTGTATTTGTTACTATATTTTACTGTATTTGTTACAATATTTTACTGTATTTGTTACTAAATTTTACTGTATTTGTTACTATATTTGTATTTGTTACTATATTATACTGTATTTGTTACTATATTTTACTGTATTTGTTACAATATTTTACTGTATTTGTTACTATATTTTACTGTATTTGTTACTATATTTGTATTTGTTACTATATTATACTGTATTTGTTACTATATTTGTATTTGTTACTATATTTTACTGTATTTGTTTCTATATTTTACTGTATTTGTTACAATATTTTACTGTATTTGTTACTATATTTGTATTTGTTACTATATTTTACTGTATTTGTTACTATATTTTACTGTATTTGTTACTATATTTTACTATATTTTACTCTACATTCTATTGTTTTGGATTTATTCAGAGCTCTCATCATATTATCTCTATGTTATTCCATTACGTTAAGTCAGAAAACATTTTGATCATCTCGGCCTACCTTTCAGTGTTGTCAGTGGTCCGCTAAGCTGGCTTACCTCTCCGTGAAAAATGTTCATTTTTATAAAGACCTGTATCAGACGAGCTGTCACAACTTTATAATTACCTTGTACTTTTAGCAATAACGAGAGTTGTCTTTAAATAACCAATTGCGCCAAACTTTCAATAGCACAGATCGAAATCTTTTGTAAATGAGAGGCTTTGAAATTGACTTGAAACACTAAACATATGTATATATCTAAGAGATATTTAAAGGTCACCTTACATTAATTCACAAAGACATTTTGTGGTAGTTTGAGTATATATATATTATATATATATTATATATATATATATATATATATATATATATGTAATTCACTCACATTCACGACTTTTTTTATATGTTTGCACATTTAATCTACTAGGAATATATTCGTTTTAAATTTTTAGACTGTGTCTTTCTACGTTTTACCTTAATGATATAGTAGGTCTCAGGGAGGCAGGTATACTTATTCCTAGTGATTATCACGATTTCCGTTGAACACAACACTGGGGTTCGAGATATACAGGGTGATGAAAGACATGGGAAGGTTTTACGTTTGTCACAGTGATCTCAATGAGAAATATTTCATTTGCACTACACAAAGCCCGTTGGTTCCGTTGTAACCCTAACCTTGTTCTCATTGGAGAACATGACATTATTTACTTGGAATGTTCAAGGCTTACATGGCGGATGTCGTCGATGAAGCAGAAGACGCTTACCCTTCGGGAATACCTGATCTTATTCTCCTTGTACTTTTTCCTGTGTCTCTGTGAAAATACCATTTTATTCATATTTTGACCTTTGACATTAACTGTAAGGAAATAATGGCATATTTGGTCAGGTATTACATCTAGATCGATTGCCCTTCTCGACAATGTCATTGTCTGACTTTGTGAGCTTCCAAATGACAGGGCGTGATCTAACCAAGGCGGTTTTTTCAAACGAATAATTTTAATGGATACTCTTAATTCAGCCACTTTTATTTTCCACGTTGGCATTTTGATTTCGCCATTGGCCGGGGTGCCATGCTTAAGGCATACCTTATGTACTCTTGACAGACCCTCTGGTGCAAAAAACTGCCAGGAACCGCCCGCATGTCGAGAGAATCATTGCGCGTCGAACCTATGTCCGGCCACCTCTGACACCATGGAGGCGGCAAGTGCATCTTAACTGGATGCGCAGGCATGCCCCGAATAGGTTTTGGATGTGTCGGTGGAGGCGTGTGAAGTTCACCACCGATTCTAGATTATTCGGTGGGGCTTCTGTAATGGTTTGGGAGGCATTTCCCAGAGAGCAAAATTCCGCTTAGTGGTCCTGGATCCAAACTTAACTATTGGTATGTATGACATTCTTAACGCTCGGAGAATTTTCTTGAATTATCAGGACAGAATTTCATAAACTGTTGAAACATGGCGAACTTCATACATAGGCTTAATAAGTCTACCTCAAGGTAGAGTTACATAGAAAATGTGATAATGCTCCGAAAAAACATATTTAAATATATTCCTTCTCACTGAAAGGATATTCACATTTGTAATATATATACCTGGCATCTTCATATGTCAAAAATTGTTTCCGCTGTTGTTCTGTTTGAATTCCCGTCTCCAGTGCTAGCCGTGGAGTTTTCTATCGCACTGCTGTACTCTTTAATCTTCTCATATGCCGGATCGTCGCTTATGGAATTACCCATCATGCACAGCCGAATGGAGACAAATCCTTAGTCCTTTAATTTCTTTGTCAATTCGGCATATCTTTGTTGATATCAAGATGAAATCTTACTGAGTTCATTTACAGTTATAAAAATAGTAATTAATGATATATAATTTATGATATATATCAAACAAGAACTTAATAACTCTTCTTTAATAATCTTTAAAGTCCAGTGTCCTTATGTAACATACCACGCGAACAGTTCGGTGTCCTTATGTAACATACCGCGCGAACAGTTCAGTGTCCTTCATCAGTATGTAACATACCACGCGAACAGTCCAGTGTCCTTCATCAGTATGTAACATACCACGCGAACAGTTCAGTGTCCTTCATCAGTATGTAACATACCACGCGAACAGTTCAGTGTCCTTCATCAGTATGTAACATACCACGCGAACAGTTCGGTGTCCTTATGTAACATACCGCGCGAACAGTTCAGTGTCCTTCATCAGTATGTAACATACCACGCGAACAGTTCAGTGTCCTTCATCAGTATGTAACATACCACGCGAACAGTTCGGTGTCCTTATGTAACATACCACGCGAACAGTTCGGTGTCCTTATGTAACATACCACGCGAACAGTTCGGTGTCCTTATGTAACATACCACGCGAACAGTTCGGTGTCCTTATGTAACATACCGCGCGAACAGTTCGGTGTCCTTATGTAACATACCGCGCGAACAGTTCGGTGTCCTTATGTAACATACCACGCGAACAGTTCGGTGTCCTTTTGTAACATACCGCGCGAACAGTTCGGTGTCCTTATGTAACACACCGCGCGAACAGATTAGTGTCTTTCATCAGTACGTAACATACCGCGCGAACATTTCACTGTCCTTCATCAGTATGTTACATACCGCGTGAACAGTTCAGTGTCCTTATGTAACATACCGCGCGAACAGTTCGGTGTCCTTATGTAACATACCGCGTGAACAGTTCAGTGTCCTTTATCAGTACGTAACATACCGCGCGAACATTTCCCTGTCCTTCATCAGTATGTAACATACTGCGCGAACAGTTCAGTGTCCTTCATCAGTATGTAACATACCTCGCGAACAATTGAGTGTCCTTCATCAGTACGTAACATACCGCGCGAACAGTTCAGTGTCCTTATGTAACATACCGCGCGAACAGTTCGGTGTCCTTCATCAGTATGTAACATACCGCGCGAACAGTTCAGTGTCCTTTATCAGTACGTAACATACCGCGCGAACATTTCCCTGTCCTTCATCAGTATGTAACATACTGCGCGAACAGTTCAGTGTCCTTCATCAGTATGTAACATACCTCGCGAACAATTGAGTGTCCTTCATCAGTACGTAACATACCGCGCGAACAGTTCAGTGTCCTTATGTAACATACCGCGCGAACAGTTCGGTGTCCTTCATCAGTATGTAACATACCGCGCGAACAGTTCAGTGTCCTTATGTAACATACCGCGCGAACAGTTCGGTGTCCTTCATCAGTATGTAACATACC